AATTTAAAAAATATATGTGTACTAGAAACAACATATAGTATTTTTAAAAGAAAGTAAATTCATTATTAAAATAATAAGAAATTAGTCTTAATTTTTTTAGTATCGTATGTGCATCCAAATAAAAAATTTTTTTTTTTTTTAAACATTTTAGATTGATTTTCATTGATTCCCCAAAAGTAAGCAAAAAAATATTGAAAAAACACCGTCAGTCAAAAGTGATGGATATATGGTTAGATTTTCGCCGTTTGTATAGAAAGTGTAATAAAATACTCCAAAAAATTATTGTTTCATTAAGATTTTTCAGAATTTTCTCTAAATATTTTTCTATTAATATTGTTTATTTTTTTTTTAATTTAATGTGGAAAAATTTCATTTATTTTTTATACATAATTTATTTTTATTAATTTTTTATTTCCTATTTATATTTAATTCCGTAATCACGTATTCCGCAAATTATTTTGTAATTATGTTTTAATTTGTTTTTGAATCAATTATTTTTTTTTAATTATGTTTTATTATTTTTATTTTTATTGAATTAATTTGTTTTTCATTTCGGCCTAATATTATTTTTTCCTGGTTTTATTACTGCTTTTGCATTGTCATAGTTTTGTTTATCATTTATACACTCTCTTCTATTCTCCGGCTACAAGCACTAGCTAAAAAACTATGCCGCTCCAAAAAAGCTAATAATAACAATGCTCACACACAGACACTAACTAATTCAATTATTTATGGTTGTTTTCTGCTTCTTGCCTTAAACGATGTGTGCCACACACAAAAAACAACAGTTTAACTGTGAGACCAAATCCTTACTAAGTTTACAAAGTCCAAGATCACAAAAACCCCCCATAAATGCAAAAAAATTATGGTCTTTGCAAGACACAGAAAAAAGAAAAGTAAAAAAAACAAACTAGCAAAGATGATGTCCTTTCTTGTGTTGGTGTTAACCAAGGGTAGGGTCTTTGGGGGGTGTAGGGGCTATGTTATGAGCATGGCTCTCCCAACAAATGGGGGTTGTTTACCTCAATGAGCATTGTCGACTCTCTTAGGTTTGTGTTAGGTGGAGAGTATAAGCCTAAACATAACTTATCGCAATGTAATTATGAAGAAGATAACAGGGGAAGATATTAGATAATTTATGGAAAAACCAGAAATGTTCTCATTTCTGGTAGATGGGAATATCAAGCAATTATATATTTGCGGAGAAATTTATTATTTATGTAGGTATTTCTTTGTAAATGTGATAAGAATAAAATTTTGTAAAAATGTGAAACAGAATTGTGAATTTCAAGAGAGTTTATGTGAGGAATATGTCACAATGAAACTAATTATTAAAACGATAAAATTTGTAATGGGGGATTTTCGCATATAGGAAGTTTTATGTTGAACCTATCTTTTTTAGATAAAAGGACCAATCAAGGCATAGTTTTTTACCATTTGTGTCCTTCGTTACCATTTACTGAGCTGTCCTTCTTAAACATTTCTTTGACTTAATTCTAAGTAAGAATATCACAATTTCTTTGATATGGGGCGTATACCTAATACGGATTTCGGCTCTTGTTAAGTATACGATCCAGATTATACTTTATAAATTAAATTTAAAATATTTTTTCGAGTGTAAGGAAATGATTTTAAACTAAAATTTGTTATTACTGGGTCCATATATGCTAAAAATATCGTGAGAGTCATTCCATACTTTTTCATTTAAACTGAAATTTTAGTATCCTTTATACTGTAACTCGGTTCGCAGAACCTAACATTTTTTATTCATATTTAGGAATTATTTTCTTAATATATTTGAAATTATAATCAATTTTCCAAAAAAAAAAAAAAAAAAAAAAAATATAGAAATACGGTTTATTCAGATATATGGCTTTTAAATTCCTAAATGGCAATGAATTACGATATATGATCTGAATAATTTTATACTTTTAAGATAGTTGGGCAATATTAAAAAAGGAACATAATATATCACAGATTTTTGTTGAAAAGTCAATTTTTTTAAGTCTCCGACGGGATTTTGATTTCATATATTTTTGGGAAAATTCTGCCAACATGTCATTATCGAAAATATTTCTTTAAACATTCATAATTGTGGACACAATTAATTCATTGAATATAAAAAATGAATTCTTTGAAGGAGTTTAGTTGTATAGGATACAATTATAAGACAAATTTATTTCGAAAAAAATAATCTATATTCATTTAGAGTTTTTCGTTCCAAAGTGGAGTTTTTCCTTTTTTATGAAAGATATTTGAAAAACTTTAAAAAAGAAAATTTAAAACGTTTTCATTTTTTTTCATTCGAAATCAGAATTATTTATTTATATATTAGATATTTATGAGGAACTTTCTTCCAAATTGGAATCTGAATTTGTTACTTTTCAAAGCAGATAACATCATTTTTAAGATTTCTCAGAGAAAAATTAATGATTTTTTCAACATTTTACACATGCTTTTTTTGCCCACCTCCAAGGGAACAAAAACAAATGGGAGATATCCATCAGCCAGGCTCATTTACCAGGTGACACTAGATATGAATTTTGCTCTTAAGCTTCCTTACATTTTAGTTAGAATTTTTGGTAAGTTGTCAGTATTTATTGTGGTGTTGGTATGGTCCAATAGAATTAATTCATATTTTCCTAAATTAATTAGATATTTGACCAGTGTTTTTTGGCGGTTGTATTGTGGTCGGCCGGAATTGGTTTTAACATCCTGAAATGTTTAAACTTGCCATTCAAAATCCCCAATAGTAGGCCTTCGGGATACCCTAATGGTACTTATGTTCTTTTCAATATGAGACGTTTTTACCGAATTGATTTTGAGTTCCAAACGTCACATTCGGTTTTTCATTCACCTTCCCTAGATTTTCCCGTTACCGAGCTTAATTATCTCAAAGGCTTAAAGGGTGGTTAATTAAAATTTCACAGACCGTTCCATTTCCTTAAAATAGATATAAGTTTTGAGTGTCTAAAAATTTTGAAAAATTTATATGTTTACATCCTTCTATTTTCCGGTATTTGAGGAGTACTTAAACTTAAACTTTTTTGTTTTAGACAGTTCTCATAACACCTATACTAAATCGATTAAATAAATTGAAAATTTACTAAGCGACTTAACTATGCAATATTTTCCAACACAGACAACTTTTTAAGATGGCTTTTAAGCCTATATTGCAAATATTAAAGGTTTTGTGGTTCTTATTTCCCTTTACGAGAGGGTGACAACCCTTGTATTTCTTTAAAGATTGGTCTTCATTTTTTCAAACTCTTTTAATTCTGGTTTAAAGTAAGGCACATTATCCCTGGGAATCTATTAAAAGTTCTGAAACACACATTTTTTATTAATACTTTATATTTTTTTTTAGTACAAACTAATTATTACATGGTCCTTTGTTTGTGTCCCTGGAGTGCTTGTATGGTGTCCGAATTTTTGACACATTAATAATTAATTTTTTCTTATGATTTCAGATTTAAAAATAAATTAAAAAAGATATAATTATCAAAAACACTTCATTTTATGAGCAGCTTTTATGTCCTATTTGTTTCCTATTGGAAATTGCAATAACCCTAAAACAAATTGGAATTTCTTTGATTTCTAGTTTTATTTTTTGATAAAATATTATTTATTTCATTTATATTTATTTAACTTTTAAATTTTTGCAATATTATTTTTTTTTTGCTTGAATTTAAGATTTTTTTTTAATTTAAAATTATTTTTTTTTTTATTATTTTTTTACATGTTATTGCAAATTTATTTCGATTTTTTTACTCGCGATTTATTTCATATTTATAATGAATTATTGTATTATTAATCAATTAATTATTATATTTAATTTTTTTTTTTAATAAATATTTAAGTGAATTATGTTTTGTTAATTTTTCGACTATGAAGTTAGAAATGTTAGTTTCCCATATATTTTTTAATTAAATAATTTTTGGACGATTTTTTTTATTTTTTTTAATATTAATTTTCAGTTTTTCAATTTTTTCTATTATTTAATGCACCATCAATTTAAATTAATTTTATTTAATTTTTATTTATTAAAACATTATTTTTTTACATTTTCTTAAGAGAATTTTTTCGTAAGATTTCTTCTCTTATTATTGCAGATTCTTTTCGAATTTTCTTACAAAAAATGCACACGAGCTGATTGCTGTTACTTTGTTGTTGCAAGGAGAGTTCACCGAACAGAATGTATCTAATTCAACATAAATTGCTGTCTTTAACATTAGATGTTATTTACCGCAAAGCTTGAGATAAACTATAACATAACAAGGCAACAAAAAACTCGATGTGTAAATTAGACACACACACCGAGACACTTTAAAACACTCCGGCGGAATAAGCAAATAACATAGGAACAAGAGGAGACCACAACAGAGCAAAAACGAAAAGGAGAAATATTTTCTTTAAGTTAAGATAGATACTCTCTGCTGCTGCTGCTGCAGATGTTACTCCTGATGGAAATCTGAGTTATAATCTTGCTCTGCTTCCTTTCTCATTTCATAATTAGAAAGTCGACGACGAGGTACACTAACACATAGAGCCAACAAAATACTTGTGGCAGCTCCTACGCATGTTTAGACAGCAATGCATTACCCCAATACACACCAATACATTAACACTTGTGGTCGTCTGCTCAAAGCCTTTGCACCACTACATATAGAGAAAACGAAATGAGCACATTGCATTGGGGTTCTCTAAGATGATTATGGCGCTCTCGCCTAAGTTAAGTTGTGGCCATTAGTTGTTGGCCTTTAAGCCAAGTTGCTTGGTTGGGTAAGGCAAGAAAACGGCAATTGTGAGAGAGAGCATAAGGAAATCACATTTTAATGGGAAAGGAGGGGGTCGAAGGACTCACATTATAAAGCCGGTGTATTGGGTGGGTAATGAATTCTGCCGCTATTTCTAAGCCAAAAAAATCAGGTTAAGATGTCCATGTTTTTTAAATCTTTCACTGTATTTTAGCAGCTTGTAGACTTCGGTTCAGTGCTTACCAGGACATTTTGCTGTCTTTCAATTTCTACTCATAGCTCCTTACATTGCTGCTGTCTGTTTGTGTTTTGAAGCTTTTCTAAACGTTTTACATTCTTTTCACAATTTCTTTTAACATTTTCCTTATCTTCATTGTTGTCGTCGTCGTTTGTTTTGCTGGTTCGTTGTCAAGTTGTGCAGAATCGGCGGTAGGTATTTTGAATTCCCTGGGAATTCTTTCTTTGGTGGAGTATCAAAAACTTATTAACAAATTATTAACAAACTCATATATGTTATTGTTGTTGGTTTTCTTTGTAGCGTTTTCTCTTTCCTTCTTTCTTTCTCTGAGGCGGGCATTAAACAAAACTTATTGTCTTCGAATAAACCGAACTCGGAACTTTTAGAGTGCCAAAAATAAACGTAAATTTTTTCAAAAACTATTTTTTTTGCAATCCGAAAAAATTGAAAAAGGCTTATTTGTTGATATTTTTTGGAGATAGTTTTGTGTGTTTTTGGTGATATTTTTGTTGCTGTTTTTGGAGTGAAAAAATAACCGAAAATAAAAATTTTTATGTAACGTCGACGTTGATGTTAAGTTTTGTACTAATCGCCTGATGTATGGCAAAAAAATCATTTGGCAGAGCAACGCATAGGCCGCGCAAAACCCCGCTTTTTGCCATCGTTTTGTCGTGGTGGCCGTGGTGCCTGTTTTGTTTTATGTTTTTTTTTTCTGTTTCGTGCACTTTTATGTGCTGGTGCTCCATGCCAGGCAGGCAGCCAGGCCATTGTGTGGCAAGCATGTGTGCCAGTGTGTGTGTGTTTTTGAATGTGCATGGGGGGCTATAACAGCATATCCGTGTTAACGCGAAAAAATCCACGTCCAGCTGCACCAAAAAAAAATTTGCAATATATGTTTCAGGCCTAAAGAGTAACACAGGCATGCACCCATGCCATCAAATCGCCATTGCCATCACCATCAGCCTAAACTCCTACAGGCAACGAAGGAACAAACGCCGAGCACTCAACAGCGAATATCCCGGTTTGATGGGTGTGAGTCTCTGTGTGTGTGCGTTTTTTTGGTTGCCCATCAGAGATGAGGATGGTATGAGAATGTTTAGGGGGGTGATGTGCATCAAAATTGTGCTTAGCTAAGGTTTGTACAGCAGCAGTAGCAGCCAGCAACAGCAGCATTTGTACCCATGTCTGCATCACAACTAAGGGGCACAGTGTGGGTATGGGTTTAATGACTTTTCAACTCTACGCATTTGTGAGTGAGTGTCTGGTGTGTGTGTGTGTCTCTGTGTGCTGGGGAGCTTTATCTATGCCCCCCGTATCTAACATGGGGTAGAGTTTTGTTACCAAATATTGTACCCCAAGCATTAGAGTAACAACTCATAGAGAGTGGCAAATGTTCTCTTGTGTCTCACTCGCCAGCTCTCTTTCTCTCGGTATTAGTGCGCATTTTCAAATCAAGAGACACATAGCTCACTAATACATCAAATTCGTTGTGGTGGAGCCACCGAAATCGTCACTGCTTGTCAACCCCCCTTTCATGGATTTTTGGTCGCTGTTGTTTTAACTCAAAAAATTCCAAATTTATTTGAGAGCACCCCCCTCACTTGTACCCCCAAAAACAATTGTAGCTAATTTTGGTTTTCTTTGGGGGGTTCTAAACTTTGTTTCAGAGTGGGAACAAAATGTGTTTCTTATGTGCTTTTTTCTTGGATTATCCGACTGTTTTCTTGGATTAACCAAGTCTAAAGTTTGTCTCAGTAAGGAGTAATTTAAAAAAAAATAAAACTAAAGACCATCCACTAATTTTTATGTGACATATCTTTTTCTGTTGATAAATTAGCGGCATCATTTAGCTGTTAATTTCAAATGTTGCAGCAGTTAACAAATGTATATTAATCAAGGTGTAAGTAAGTAAGAAGCTGTCGTGCCTCATTTTTTGTTTTAATGTAACTGTCAGGTAGAAGGAGTCTATCAGAGATTTTTTATTTATTTATTTTTTTGGTTTTTTTTTCTTGAAATAACTTCTCCAATGGATAGTATATCAATAGAATAGAACAAACATATGATAAAAAATTATTTTTTTGTAAATAAAATTTTCTAAATAAGATCGGACAGTGATAGCCTAGTCAAAATAGACATTTGAAATTGTAAACATTTTTGAAAAAACTGAATTGGGTATAGAATTTGAACTTATCGTTACAAAAAAAAAAAATTGTCAAAATTCCTCATAAATCCCATCAAAAATATTCTCAAATAAAAGTTGTAGGCCTTAAAATGTTCTACAAAACGACCTTATTAATTTTCTTCCTAGGTGTTACCATTCTCAAGATATCGCTATTTTAAGAGACACCCTATAAACAATATGCCATCATAATCATGAGGCTGTGTTTTAGGATTTCTAACCTGGAAGTTCTACTCCAACAATTTTTTATCACAAGTTTAAGATAATTTAATGGAAAAGAACGCATGCTCGCTTTTGAGAAAAATTCATAGAACTAAGAATGATGACCTTTGACATCGTACGAATTTTTGGACACATGGGATTAATGTGCACTTTTAATGGCTATATACAAGGTGGCGCAAAATTAATCATCCTATCAGAAAATTATATAAATATAACGATTGGCACCTAATGTCTTAATTACATGATTGTTCAAGGTGTCGCAAAAGTAAACTTCCGAAGTTTTTTTGGCTGTAATTAAGACATTAGATTCCAGTCGTAAAATGTATAGGATTTTCTGATAGGAGGATAATTTTTGCGTCACCTTACTAAAATGCAACTTTGTGAAAATTTGTACATTTGTGTCTATTTTGACTGGACAATAGGCAGTTTGATATCAAAATACCCTACTGTGATGTGATATTGTACGTAAATTAAATGAAAGTAGTATTAGGTAGTATGGGCCTTCTATATCAACTAAAAATTGGTTTCTGTCAATTGGGCTTTTTTGGTTGATTACTTCGGAAATTGATAAATATTAATCGAATTTATTGCTTTTCTTTGTAGTTTTTTCCAAAGTTATTTATTGGAAGTCATTTCTCCTAGACACCTTTTTATCAGATCATGTTTTTTTGTATATATACATTTCAGTTCATAGTATAATTTCGTCGACATATTGCTTTTGGACTATGAAAACATTAAAGAATTTGAAGATTATTTTGTAAAAAGCGTCAAAATAGTTACGAGTTTTATTAAGTAATAATCGGAGTGTTGCTACTGAACCTTCTCAGATTTTTAAAAGATCAATAGTTTTGTGGATCATTTTTCTTTTTACGTTTTAATTCTTGATCATCGTCACTTTACAGGGGATAAAAGTTCTTTAAAAAAAGTCTTTAAAAATATCTCATCAACTCCATAGTATATCCCTACTCCTTTTTTAGGTAAAATTCAATTTATTTAAAGTTATATCTTACATAGGGTCCTTTATATCCTTCACTAACCTCCACATAAAGTAATTCATATCTAGAATATCATATAATGTATTCAAATATGTATGTAAAAGTCTATATATTACCCTTTTGACTTAAATTCTTCAGAAAAAAAATATGTACCCGTCTGCGAGATACAGATCAAAATTGCAACCCCCGGTCTTAAAAAATATATTATTTATATATTAGCGACAGTGACCCATAAATTTTAAAAGCAAATTATTTTTTCTTATATATTCTAATTGCTTTGAATTTCATTTAAATGTCAAGATGTACATCATGTATATCGTTGTCACTAGGCATGCGCAAAACGAGGAGTTGCATTGCGCCAACTCGGAACTCGATCTTTAAAGTCTTTTTGTTATTGATATGCTGTAGTCCGTTACAGTCAAAATATACTTTTTGACAGAAAATATAATAAAAATCCTTTTTTCTTAGCAGGTACAAAATGTAATCCTGTTAATGCACATTTGTTAGTATACATGTTTAAAATATAATCCTAAACATTTTTTGTTTATAAAATCTAACTGAAAATACCAGTGTAGCTCTAACATTTTCCTACCAAATGCTTCCAAGTTAAATGATGTAAAATAAGTAGTCAATTTCAATAAAATAGTTTTTTTATAGTCCTTCTAGTACAGGTGTAGGTCTGATGTAAAATCAGAGTCGTAATAAGGTAATAAACTCGAAAATTGTCATTTTTGATTTCACAGAGTTATTTCTCAAGCGATTTAAGTTAAGGATAATATACCTCAATTTTATATACAGAGAGCGCTCTGACATCCTTTGCATTGAATGTCTTTTTCTTTATTTATGTTCTTATTAGAAGTCTACATGTAATTTTTACTTCTAAAATCTGCAGAGGTTGATAATTAGAAAAAATATTTTTTTAAAGAGATCGAACGGAATTGGTCTCTATTCTTTTTCTATGAAAATATTAAAAGAAAAAAGAAATAACTGTGAAATGAGAAAAATATTTGTGATATCCTATTATCATATAACAAGGAGATTGTAAAATGTTTGAGACCGATTCGATACATACGAACTAAAATTTCCAAATATATATATTCTATTAATGTTACAAATAATTGGTTTTGAAGTCAGCGGGTTCATTTGAAAAATCTAAATTATTTTGACTTTAATGCAGCTCAAATTCTTACTCATAGTTATTCAAACTTTCATAAATATAAATATCTTACTGCAAATGCTTTGTTATCTTTGAGGCGCTTAATGGCTTAAATTCTTGTATAAAGCCCTTGAAATGCTTTAAGTTAGGCTGTTTCATTATATGGAAACTATACTATCAATAGTTCTTATTATGACAGCTTTTTTTGTATTGGAGTTTCATATACATCTTGAACCCAATGTACTGAAACTGCCTTTGGAAAATATTTCATTTGGGGGCCTTGAATGACAAGGGGGCGTTTTTCCTTCAAAAAGACTCACAAAACTAAATTCCTATAGGAAGCTTTAATTCGAGCAACACCGCAAAAATGTTATTCAATATCGGATCCAAATGCTATATTTTCTGTTTATATGGATTCCAAAGTACCGATATGACCAGGCGTCTCAGGAGATACAATTTGTATAAATATCCATTTTAGACTGTGACCCAAAATGCACTTAATTTATTCAAAATAATCCTGATCTAAATTGACTTTTTTCAAATAATATTGAAAACATTTTATTTGAAACAATTTTAGTATTTCTAATAATTTTGAGTGATTTATAGTAATATATTGTAATACTTCCAATACCAAATATTTCAGGACAGATAAGTTTTTCATCAAAATTTTCTTTACAATAATTGCATATTTGAGAAAATTCTTGATCCAAGACACTAAGGAACAAGTTTCATTCAAGATTAAATGGCCTAGAAGAATATTGTGACCCTTCAAACGAATGTTAGAAGAAAATAAAGAAGTAGACCGCCATCTATAAATATAAACATTTTAGACACATTTCCATTCAAACCTAAATTAGTAACAAAATGCTAGGGTTTGGATTGTATATATGCTTCTAATGTTACTTAAAGGACTTGTGAGTCCTACTGGTCCTCTGAATACCCAAAAATCTTAAATTTTTAATATATTCATGGTGATTTTTAGATTGAGAATCAGTTTTAGAGCAC